TAAATATTTAATTCAGAGGAAATGTAATAACTAGAGTAAAATTTTTCTTAGTTCCTTTTATTGTCCAGCAGGATAACAGTATCATTTGTTTTTTTAGAGTCTGACAATGTAAGTTTGCATGTGGTAATTAATGGGATTTCCTACTAAAAGAATAGAAATAAAATTATAATAATCAAACTCAAGAAATGATAAAATTATAACAATAATCAACATGAAAAAAGACAAGAAGTAAAATAAAGTTCAACAAATGGGGCAAACAGTAAGCTATGTGGTAGTTTATATCCAAATATATTAGTGATTCCTGAATGCACTTAATAGTCCAACTTTAAAATATTTTCAACCTGAGAATAAAATGTATGGACACGGGGTTTACAACAGATATATCTGAAATATAACAACTCAAATGTATTGAAATTTAATTAATTGAAAATGTTAATCAAAAGAAAGCTAGTACAACTATATTGATACCTTAATTGAGTTTAAGACAAAAATGTTCCAAGAGTCAAAGAAGGTCTATTCACAATGATACAAAAGTTTAGCTGGTATCCCAGTAAGATACAACAACTTTAAATTTACATGCAACTGAGAATATAGCCTCATTAAGAGAAAACTGATACATTAAAAATAATTATGTAGATGGATATACCACCATAGTGGGCAATTTTAGACCTTTCTCAATACTTGACAGAAAAAGTAAAACGAAAAAATTAATAAGTAGAGCAATGCTTCTCAAACATCACCTTGGGATCTTTTAAAAGTGCAGATTCTCATTTAATAGGTCTGTGTTGAGACTGATTTTCTAGATTTTGAATGAACACCTAGATAATGTTAATGTTCTGGTATAAAGATTAACCTCCACGCTTAGTAAACTTGATCTAATGAAACAGTAACAACAGTACACTCAACAAATAAAGAATAAATGTTATTCTCAATTATGCAAGGAAACATGCCAAAAAATTAAGACTAAATGATTTTCATGGTTTGAAAGTATATAAATTTCCCTTACCAAAATACCATTCAACAGGAAAGCAATAATAAAAATTAATTAGAGTCCAACATAGAAATTTTTAAAATACGTATTTCTTAATAACTCATGGGTCAAAGAAGAAATCATGATGAAAACTAGAAAACATCTAACTGATCAAATATAACTAATCAAGTGAGTTATAAAAGAGATTTATTAATCAACTAAATAGATAATATTTACGTATATGTTGAAATATACATTGGATGTGAGGAAATGTAAACACCTTAACAAATGAATATTATCTAGATTGTAGAATTTTGTGTAAATTGTGTTGATTTTGCTTTTATTTATTTGACTCTAACTCCCATAATGATTATAAATTATTTTATACTAAAACATTCATCGATTTGAATAAAGAAAATTTGTATTACACCACACAGAAACATAAAGAAATTATACAAAAGAAACTGAAAGAATATCAGAAAATATATATCTTTTAATCTACATATAAACAGTGATAATGCAGGTATGAATAATTTAAACTTTTAATTTTCTCTTTATCTAAATTTTCTATATAGAAATATACATTCCTATTTTTTTGGTCTTTTTACCCTCTACCTGTCACCTTATCTCTCTCCTCTCTGGGATCAAGCTCTCTTTACTTCATTGCCTCCAATTCACTTTTTATATGTGCAGATCATGCAGGTTTGTTACATAGGTTTACATGTATGGTGGTTTGCTGCATCCATCCCCCATCATCTACATCAAGTATTTCTCCTGTTATCCCCCACCCATCCCCCACCCCCTGCTATCACTCCCCTGGTCCCTTAATTTCTAAGTGCTATAATCGGCATTTGTGAAAAATTCTTACTTGTAGGCCTCTATGCTTTTTTCATCCTGGTCAATATCTTTATCCCTTTCTTCTTTAGCTTGCCGAGCCTTCAATCTGACATTTTCACACACTTCTAAAACTTCTTCGAGTTCTTCATTAATTTTTCTGTGTAGGTCATTTACCTAGAAATAAAAATATTTTTGCTTATATGTGCACTTAATGGTTAATTTAAAATAATAACAGTGTAGTATTGATTTGAATTAAAAGTTTTTAGAAACATTTTCTTCCCACATTTAGCCTATTGTTTGGAAAGTGGAATTTCAGTCCTGACAGGCATTTATGCTGGGAATGTATAAATGTTACTGAAGAAAATAATTTCAATCTCTAAGTTAACATGTCCAGAGAAAAATCGTCTCTTCCCTCATAAAAAATTATTTTTATTCCTCAAGTAATACTTTATTATTTTAAAAAATCAGAAAAAAAATGAACACTGGCAAACAAAGTCACCTGTACTCCACTCCACCAAGAATACAATTATTCTGTGGTTGGTGCAAAATAATTGCACTTTTTGCCATTAAAAGTATGCACCAGGCCAGGCACAGTGGCTCACGCCTGTAATCCCAGCACTTTGGGAGGCCAAGGCGGGTGGATCACGAGGTCAGGAGTTTGAGACCAGCCTGACCAACATGGTGAAACCCCATCTCTACTAAAAATACAAAAATTAGCCAGTGTGGTGGTGCATGCCTGTAATTCCAGCTACTCAGGAGTCTGAGGCAGGAAAATCATTTGAACCCAGGAGGCAGAGGTTGCAGTGAGCCTAGATCAGGCCACTGCACTCCATCCAGCCTGGGTGAAAGTGGGAGACTGTCTCAAAAAAAAAAAAAGTATGCACCAACATAATATCTTAGTGTAATACTTCAAAATATTCAGTTTTTACTTTTTATTAACAAACATCATACTAATGTTCCTGTCTCCATCTCTTCTTTCTGTCTCTTTGTATATTGCTATATCACATTATTTTTACTTAATATTCCCTTATATCACACTTACTCATGATTTAACTCATTATAAATTTACCTCATCACATACTGTTTATGTGTCCCTCATACATATGTTGTTCATGTCAAACTGTGTGTAATTATATGAACATTATGCACAGTTTGGCATGCACAACACATGTATGAGGGACACATAAACAACAGTACTGTGATGAAGAACAATATAAGGAAATTGCACAATCTATAGTTATACTGCATGTTCTTAAATATTTTCTTCAAATGTACTGTTAAAACAGGATTTGCTGACTCATAAGGTATTAGCATATATTTTAACAAGTTTGATAAATGTTGGTTGCCAAATTACTCTCCAGAATAAGGAGTAACAATTTGTATTCTTACCAGTGGAAAAGAAGAAAGCCCATATTCCAAAACTCTTTCCAGCATTTTATATTACTTTTATTCTAATAATATTATTTAAATTGACGGACCAAAAGGTTGTTGTTTAAATTTTACTAGAATTTGATGGCTCTTTCTATAACAATTTTGAAATGATTGACATTATAATAGGCCTTTCTATACTTGGATGTATTAGGTATCTATATTAATTGTCTCTATTTTCCTCAATAAGATTTCACAACCATAGTCTTAAATGTCTATACCTTTACAAATTTCTTCATGAATATTTAATGACTCTTGTTAGTTATAGGAATTTTGTGTTTATATTTTTAGCTATTTATTGAGAGTATGAAGAAGAACTTTATTGTGCTACTAAAGTATGTTGCATTGAGTGGTTTAGTTCTGGTGAATACAAACTTATTTTGAAAACAGCGGTCTTTGATTTGGTGTTTTAATTATAATAATATTGAAATAATTTTATTTCACAATTTTTAAATGTATATCTTTTATTTCATTTTACTGTCCTATTATGTCAGCAAAAATCCCCAAAATGATGTTAAATTCTAACAGGATGTCAAGTTTACCTGATTTGTTTCTATTACTACAGCTTTAGTATTTTAATGATTAATAGCAATGCTATTTGTGTGAAATATTTATTTAAAGTATTTTTTAAATTTTAATTATTTATTATAATTGCCAGTTGTTGAATAATGAATACATCTTTAGCATCTTTGATAAAATTCTACTTTTTTTCATTGTTCTTCAGATTCTGGAGTACATGTACAAATCTTGCAGGATTGTTGCATAGGTACATACATGGCAAGGTAGCTTGCTGCCTCCATCCTCCCATCACTAATTTCTGGCATTTATCCCCATGTTATCCCTCCCAACCTCCCCACCCCATGCTGTCCCTCCCCTAGCCCCCGCAACAGATCCCAGTGTGTGATGCTCCCTTCCCTGTGTCCATGTGTTCTCATTGTTCAACACCCAACTATGAGTGAAAACATGGTGTTTGATTTTCTGTTCTTGTGTTAGTTTGCTGAAAATGGTTTCCAGATCCATCCATGTTTCTGCAAAAGACATGAACTCATTCTTTTTTATGGCTGCATAGTATTCCATGGTGTATATGTGCCACATTTTCCCTGTCCAGTCTATCATTAGTGGGAATTTGGGTTGGTTCCAAGTCTTTGCTATCGTAAACAGTGCCGCAATGAACATATGTGTGCATGTGTCTTTATAATAAAATGATTTATAGTCCTTTGGGTATATACCCAGTAATGGGATTGCTGGGTCAAATGGAGTTTCTATTTCTAGATCCTTGAGGAATTGCCACACTATCTTCCACAATGGTTGAACTAATTTACACTCCCAACAACAGTGTAAAAGTGTTCCTATTTCTCCACATTCTCTCCAGCATCTGTTGTCTCCAGATTTTTTTAATGATCACCATTCTAACTGGCAAGAGATGGTATCTCAATGTAGTTTTGATTTGCATTTCTATAATGACCAGTGATAATGGGCATATTTTTATATGTTTCTGGCCTCATCTATGCCTTCTTTTGAAAAGTGTACCCTTCGCCTACTTTTGAATGAGTTTGATTTTTACTTGCAAATCTGTTTTTTTTTTTTCTGTATAGATTCTGGATATTAGCCCTTTGTCAGATGGGTAGATTGCAAAATTCTTTTCCCATTCTGTTGTTTGCCAATTCACTCTAATGACTGTTTCTTTTGGTATACAGAAGCTCTGGAAGTTAATTAGATCCCATTTGTCTATTTTAGCTTTTGTTGCCAATGCTTTCGGTGTTTTAGTCATGAAGTCCTTGCCTAGGCCTATGTCCTGAATGGTTTTGCCTAGGTTTTCTTCTAGAATTTTTATGGTGTTAGGTGTCATGTTTAAGTCTTTAATCTCTCTGGAGTTAATCTTAGTGTAAGGTGTCAGGATGGGGTCCAGTTTCTGCTTTCTGCACATAGCTAGCCAGTTTTCCAAATACCATTTATTAAATAGGAAATCCTTTCCCCACTGCTTGTTACTGTCAGGTTTGTCAAAGAGCAGATGGTTGGAGATGTGCGGCATTGGCTATGAGGCCTCTGTTCTGTTCCATTGGTCTATATATCTGCCTTGGTACCAGTACCATGCTGTTTTGATTACCAAAGCCTTGTAGTATAAAGTCAGGTAGCATGATGCCTCCAGCTTTGTTCTTTTTGCTTAGGATTGCCTTGGCTATGTAGGCTCTCTTTTGGTTCCATATGAAGTTTAAGGTGTTTTTTCCAGTTCTGTGAAGAAGATCATTGGTAGCCTGTTGGGGATAGCATTGAATCTATAAATTACTTTGGGCAGTATGGCCATTTTCATGATATTGATTCTTCCTAACCATGAACATGGAATATTTTTCCGACTGTTTCTGTCCTCTCTTAGTTTTTGAGCAGTGGTTTGTACTTCTCCTTGAAGAGGTCCTATACATCTTTTGTTGGCTATATTCCTAGGTATTTTATTCTCTTTGTAGCAATTGTGAATGGGAGTTCGCTCTTGATTTGGCTGTTAGTCTGTTACTGGCATATAGGAATGTTTGTGATTTCTGCACGTTGATTTTTGTATCCTGAGACTTTGGTGAAGTTGCTTATCAGCTTAAGGAGATTTTGGGCTGAGACAATGGGGTCTTCTAAATATACAATCATGTTGTCTCTCAGATAGAGACAATTTGACTTCCTCCTTTTCTAATTGAATATGCTTTATTACTTTTTCTTGCCTGGTTGCTCTGGCTAGAGCTTCAAATACTACATTGAGTAGGAGTGGTGAGAGAGGGCATCCTTTTCTAGTGCCAGATTTCAAAGGGAAGGATTCCAGGTTTTGCCCATTCAGTATGATATTGGCTGTGGGTTTGTTGTAAATAGCTTGTATTATTCTGAGATATATTCCAATGATACTTAGTTTATTGAGAGCTTTTAGCACAAAGCGCTGTTGAATTTTGTCAAAGGCCTTCTCTGTTATCTACTGAGATAATCGAGTGGTTTTTATCTTTGGTTCTGTTTATGTGGTAGATTACATTTATAGACTTGTGTATGTTGAACCAGCCTTGCATCTCTGGGAAAAAGCCCACTTGGTTGTGATGGATAAACTTTTTGATGTGCTGTTGCAACCGGTTTGCCAGTATTTTATTGAAGATTTTTGCATCTATGTTCATCATGGATATTGGCCTGAAGATTTCTTTTTTTATTGAGTCTCTGCTGGTTTTGGTGTCAGGATGATGTTGGTCTCACAAAATGATTTGGGAAGGATTCCCTCTTTTCGAATTGTTTGGAATAGTTTCAGAAGGAGTGGTACCAGCTCCTCTTTTAATGTCTGGTAGAAAACGGCTGTAAACACGACTGAACCTGGACTTGCTTTTGTTGGTAGGCTTTTAATTGCTGCCTCAACTTCAGCCCTTGTTGTTGGTAGATTCAGGGTTTCAACTTCTTCCTGGTTTAGTCTTGGGAGGGTGCATGTGTCCAGGAATTTATCGATTTCTTCCAGATTTACTGGTTTATGTGCATAGAGTTGTTTGTAGTAATCTCTGATGGTAGTTTGTATTTCTGTGGAATTGGTGGTGATATCCCCTTTACTGTTTTAATTGCATCTATTTGATTCTTCTCTCTTTTCTTTTTTGTTAATCTGGCTAATGGTCTATTTTGTTGATCTTTTCAAAAAATCAGCTGCTGGATTTATTGATTTTTAGAAGGGTTCTTTTTTGTGTCTCTACCTCCTTCAGTTCTGCTCTAATCTTAGTTATGTCTTGTTTTCTGATAGCTTTTGAGTTTTTTTTGTTTTTTTTTTTAATCTTGCTCCTCTAGCTCTTTCAATTTTGATGATAGGGTGTTGATTTTAGATCTTTTCTTGCTTCTCATGTGGGCATTTATTGCTATAAATTTCCCTCTAGACACTGCTTTTAATGTGTCTCAGGCATTCTAGCTTGTTATGTCTTTGTTCTCATCTGTTTTGAAGAACATCTTTATTTCTGCCTTCATTTCATTGTTTATCCAGATGACATTCTGAGCCAGTTGTTCAGTCTGCATGAAGTTGAGTGGTTCTGAGTTAGTTTCTTAATCCTGAGTTCTAATTTGATTACACCGTGGTCTGAGAGACTGTTGGTTATAATTTCTGTTCTTTTGCATTTGCTGAGGAGTGTTTTACTTCCAATTATGTGATCAATTTTAGAGTAGGTGCGATGTGGTGCTGAGAAGAATGTATATTCTGTGGATTTGGGGTGAAGAGTTCTGTAGATGTCTATCAGGTCTGCTTGATCCAGATCTGAGTTCAAGTCCTGGATATCCTTGTTAATTTTCTGTCTTGTTGATCTGTCTAATATTGACAGTGGAATGTTAAAGTCTACCATTATTATTGTGTGGGAGTCTAAGTCTCTTTGTAGGTTGTTAAGAACTTGTTTTATGTAACTGGGTGCTCCTGCACTGTATGCATATATATTTAGGATCATTAGCTCTTCTTGTTGCATTGATCCTTTTACCATTATGTAATGCCCTTCTTTGTCTCTTTTGATCTTTGTTGGTTTAAAGTCTATTTTATTGGAGACTACGATTACAACTCCTGCATTATTTTGCTCTCAATTTGCTTGCTAAATCTTCCTCCATCCCTTTATTTTGAGCCTATGTGTGTCTCTGCATGTGAGATGGATTTCCTGAATACAGCACACCAATGGGTCTTGACTTTTTATCCAATTTGCCAGTCTGTGTCTTTGGATTGGGGCATTTCACCCATTTACATTTAAGGTTAATATTGTTATGTGTGAATTTGATCCTGCCATTTTGATGCTACCTGGTTGTTTTGCACATTAGTTCATGCAGTTTCTTCATTGTGTCGATGCCATTTACCATTTGGTACATTTTTGGAGTGGGTAGTACTGGTTGCTCCTTTCCATGTTTAGTGCTTCTTTCAGGAGCTCTTGTAAGGCAGGCCTGGTGGTGACAAAATCTCTCAACAATTGCTTGTTTGTAAAGGATTTTATTTCTCCTTTGCTTATGAAGCTTAGTTTGGCTGGATATGAAACTCTAGGTTGAAAGTTCTTTTCTTTAAGTATATTGAATACTGCACTGGAAAAACATACCTAATTGTAAAGACCATTGAAGCTATGAAGAAACTGCATCTACTAACAGGCAAAATAACCAGGTACCATCAAAATGGCAGGATCCAATTCACATATAACAATATTAACCTTAAATGTAAATGGGCTAAATGCCCCAATTAAAAGACACAGACTGGCAAACTGGATAAAGGGTCAAGACCCATTGGTGTGCTGTATTCAAGAGACTCATCTCACGAATGCAAAGACACATATAGGCTCAAAATAAAAAGAAGGAGGGATAATTACCAAGCAAATGGAAGGCATAAAAGAAAGCAGAGGTTGCAATTCTAGTGTCTCATAAAACAGACATTAAGTCAACAAAGATCAAAAGAGACAAAGAATGGCATTACATAATTGTAAAGGGATCCATGCAACAGGAAGAGCTAACTATTCTAAACATATATGTACCCAATACAGGAGCAACCCAGATTTAGAAAGCAAGTTCTTAGAGACCTACAAAGAGACTTAGACTCCCACACAATAATAGTGGTAGACCTTAACATTCCACTGTCAATATTAGACAGATCAACAAGACAGAAAATTAACAAGGATATCCAGGACTTGAACTCAGATCTGGATCAAGCAGACCTGATAGACATCTACAGAACTCTTCACCCCAAATCCACAGAATACACACTCTTCTCAGCACCACATCATGCCTACTCTAAAATTGATCACACAATTGGAAGTAAAACACTCCTCAGCAAATGCAAAAGAACAGAAATTATAACCAACAGTCTCTCAGACCACAGTGCAATCAAATTAGAACTCAGGATTAAGAAACTCACTCAAAGCTGCACACACACAAAAAAATGGAAGCTGAACAACCTACTTCTGAATGACTATTGGATAAATACGAAAATGAAAGCAGAAATAAAGATGTACTTTGAAACCAATGAGAACAAAGACACAACATATCAGAATCTCTGGGATATATTAAAAGCAGTGTCTAGAGGGAAATTTATAGCACTAAATGCCCACAAAAGAAATAAGGAAAGCTCTAAAATTGACACCCTAACATCACTTTTAAAAGAACTAGAGGATCGAGAACAAACGAATTCAAAAACTAGCAGAAGACAAGAAATCACTAAGATCAGAGCAGAACTGAAAAAGATAGAGACACAAAAAAACCCTTCAAAAAATCAACGAAGCCAGGACTGGTTTTTTGAAAAGATCAACAAAATAGATAGTCTACTAGCCAGATTAATAAACAGGAAAAGATACAACAATTAGATAGATGCAATAAAAAATGATAAAGAAGATATCATCACCAATCCCACAGAAATACAAACTACCATTAGAGAATACTATAAACCACTCTATGCAAACTAACCAGAAAATCTAGAAGTAATGGATAAATTCCTGGACACTTTCACTCTCCCTAGACTAAAGCAGGAAGAAGTCAAATCCCTGAATAGACCAATAACAAGGTCTGCAATTGAGACAGCAATATTAATAGCCTACCAAGCAAAAAAAAAAAAAAATGTCCAGGACCAGAAGGGTTTGCAGCCAAATTCTATACCAGAGCTATAAAGATGATCTGGTACCATTCCTTCTGAAACTATTCCAAACAATAGAAAAAGAGGTAATCCTCCCTGACTCATTTTATGAGGCCAACATCATCCTGATACCAAAAGCTGGCAGAGACACAACTAAAAAAGAATATTTCAGGCCAATATCCCTGATGGTCATTGATGCAAAAATCCTCATTAAAATACAAGCAAACTGAATCCAACAGCAC